ATTAATTCACCTTCACATTTCATTACCGAGCTTAAAATTCACCATCTTTATTAACTTATCACTACTCACGATGAATTCGATAGCGTTGAACCTAGCAGTATGCAGGACACCTATCATATCTGAACTCAGTTAAATAACCTTGCTCTCCATGAGTTCTCGTAGCTCAGTGGATAGAGTGCCCGCCCGGTATTCGGGAGGTCATGGGTTCGATTCCTGCCGGGGACTCAGAATTTTTCTTTGTCCCACGCTCGTGTCCGTCACATTTCATTACCGAGCTTAAAATTCACCATCTTTATTAATTTATCAATTTTAGAGTTGGTCACGAACTTGAACTAATCTGGAATATGTTTAGTGCCAATCCTTAGCTATTAAGTCTTAATCGCAAGCAAATATTTTGTGTGCTTTTTGAACAAACCTCTGATTTGTAGCGCGGACACCAGGGGAGGTGCCATAGGGTCCACTAGACAGAGGTGCACAGAACGCCGTTGTTCCTTACTTCGCTCTCAAAGAAGTGGATCACGGATTGGTTTGTTTGTTTGAGTCACATCGGGGGTTAAATTTTCGTGACGTCATTTGCGCGCGACGCTACTTGAACCAAGATCATTCCCCACCATCTAAAGGTTGAGTTGATCCCCGACGGCCGGATCTAGGGGGAGGGTGCAGGGGGTGGGCATCTCCCCTAAGATGAAGCTTTATTTGTATTCGCTTTTAAAATTTGTTTACCTCACCAGTCAGTTACGCCGTTCCTTAGTGGTGCACGCCCTCCTAAGAAAAATTCTTGATCCGCCCCTGTACCGTACGACCATAGATAACTTCCAATCAGTGACTGCGAGTGCATTTTTACAAGTGACTGTCTGCTGGCTGAGAGATTTTCTGACGGAAAGTGCTGGAGAAATTAGGAGGTTCCGCATGTATCTTCTGAGAAGAAGGAAAACTATAGCAATTACACTGTTTTAGAAATGCTGTCTTTTTTTGTAGTGGTGATGATGCATGAAACTATTCATGTGTCCCTCAAAGACGCTTTAGAGGGGTACTTTATCGAGGCTTTACTATCACAGCTCTAGAGCTAAATTAGATCAAACTTTACAAACGAATTCAAATAATTGTTTTCAGTGTTTTCAGTGTTTGGTAGTAAAACCATCTGTTAGGATGATTCGATGTTCTTCATCTGCTGATTGATATGTTTGTCAAGTAATAAAATAAAGTAGGCACGTTTGTCATGCCCTCCAGGCAAATATTTTCTCTACGACCCTCCCACTCACGTAACAAGCTAATATAACAAAAGTAGTTTTATCGCAGAGTGATGGCACCGACAAACTTTTCTGGAAATGTGAAGCAGAAAGCGGAATACGAACAACTCATATGCTGGGAAGGTTTAACTACATCATTGGAGTTCACGAGCAGTTCATATTTCTTTCAGTTTTAAACATTTTCCTCTCAATTACTGCGTTTCTTGGAAATGCTTTGATTCTAGTCGCAAGGAGTCTTCCCTTCACCCGCCGTCTAAACTCTTGCTCCGAAGCCTTACAACAACTGATTTTTGTGTAGGAGTTATTACAGAGCCTGTCGCTGTTGGCTATTGGATGTTTGTAGTAAATGATCATGAAGATTAGAAAATCTGTCGCTACGTGACTGCAGCCGCTTATAATAACGAGTATTATTTTGTGAGGAGTGTCTGTTGACAAATGCTGCAATAAACGAGGACAGACTTCTCGCCTTGTTGTGTCGGGAATGAGATACAGAAAAGTTGTAACTTTAAAGCGAACTTAAGTGATCTTTTGGGGTGTGTCCGCTGTCTTTTCAACAGCGTATTTCTGGAATTTTCTTATAATCACATGGCGTATCTTTCCAGTTGTATCCTTGTGTCTTGCAACCTCAGTCATCTCTTACACAAAGATCGAACTCTCCCTTCGTCATCGTCAAGCTCAGTTACAAGACTAGTCTCAACAACCGAACCAAACAAGTCCATTGAACATAGCGCGATGCAAAAAGGCCGTCTTCAGTGCGATATGGTTGCAAATGACGCAGGTCGTTTGTTATCTTCCTTATCGTATAGTGGCGGCTTTGGCCCTTAATAGTGGACTTTCTTCATAAATTTTTATCGCTGGGCAATCTACAGGGACTATAGAAGATGGAAGGATGCAGGAAGTGAGCCAAGCAGCAAAGGACACAATCAGACAAGTACTTTGCTGTTCGTAGAGTTAGTTCTTGTCGAGCTATATCATGCCTAAGCTTATCAGGAAAAGACAGAAAAGGAAGCATCCGGCCACCCTCTGGATCACTAAAAATACTCAATGGGGTGGTCTAATGTCAATGTTAATGGCGTATCTACAAAAGCACTTCATGCAAGGAAACAATAGGACGATCAACACTCCTTCAAGCGATGAATATTTTAAACAAGCTTCAATGCCAAGTTGTAACTTAACGGTATCAGATAACATACGTAACCTTGTTTAAATGTACAGTGCAATAAATTGTCCTCTATTCACTACTCTACGGTATACAGTACTGTATTTCTATGACTCACAGTTCACAACAAAATATCTTATTCCGTCATTTCATAGTTGTTACGTTCAGGGTGGCCACTTGATACAGGTAAAAATAACAAAGAAAGACAAACATAGAACTGCTACAGGGTGGCCGCAGCCGCTTAATAGAGGTGGCCGCCTAATAAAGGTAACAAATACAGCATTTGTATGAGCGAAAAATTGGGACTTTGAAAACTGGCCGCTTAATAGAGGGTGGCCGCTTAATATAGGGCCGTTATAAGCAGTTTCGACTGTAGTTAAAATTTAAGGTGATTTCTTCATAGCTGTCTTAACACTGTTTTAAATTAAGAGTGGAGCTCCCTCAGTTTAGGAAATTTGTATTGGTGTTACAAAACATTTTTATTGCATACACTGTAAATTAAAAATGGGCCTATTTTGAAGACTTGGAGACTTGAAAGACATCAACTAAATGAAATATATGTCAATCCTTGTTCTTTAATATTCAAACAGCATGGTTCTGTCAAGACAGCTAATTCTGAAAACATCCAGTTAGCGTATGAATTAGTAGAGTTACCTTACAGTGATATTTCTTCTCATTTAACGCATCCGAAGAGATATTGTATTTGGTTGTACAACGGACGTTTAAGAGATTGAATGGATGCGGTCATTTTTGTTTTCTTAAAGTCATCTTTAAACCCGATTTTCTACTGCTGGAAGGAAACAGAAGAAAAAGGAAACAAGAAATATTTAAAAATAATGCTTAACAAGTTCAGTGTACGTTGAATGCATACAAAATTATTCTGGGTATTTCTAGACGGTTAAATTTTACCAAGCGGTAGTTTGGTCTGTAACATGTCGTCGACTACTCACGTTAAGAAAATAATGTCGATTACGTTGTATAGAATCACCGTGTAATGCAGACCTAAAGAGATGCGTTAGCCTACTGGGTGTTTTTTTTACGAACTTGGTTGACTGAGCTGACCCAGTTTAATTTCTCTTCCTTTCTCTCCAACCAAGTTTAGAATATGCACTTGGAGTTACTGATTATCGAGGACCCGGTAACAGGGGTAAAATGGGAACTGGGATTGGCCAGTTTTTGCCACGGGAAAGAGGGAGTTAGGTCAATGTAGGCCTTTACACAAATATCCGGATATTTTTTGAGATATTTAGAAGTGTCCGAGATATTTAGAAAGGCTTAGAAAATTTTAAGATATTTAGAAAATTTTGGGATATTTAAAAAAATGTATAGCTTTTTTTGGCTGTTTTCCAGCTTTTCCTCGGTATTTTCTTGACAGAATACTCAGTTCTATCATTCGAATTTTCTACGCTAGAAATAATCCAGTTCAGCGGTTTCCCACTCGAATAATGTTTCCATATCACTAGCAGCCAGTTGTAAAAATGGCGGATGCTGGAAACAATAGGCCTGAACCTTCTTCAGGAAGTTGCTTTATTTCCATCATACTAGTGTAGACAATCTCTGACATACTTTTCAGCTCCCGTTCGGGAAAATTTTGGCCTAAGGGATTCAAAATCGGTTTCTTTTTAAAACAAAAATACGAGAGATTTCGAGATATTCAGAGGATTTTTCGAGATATTTAGAAACGTTTGGGGGATATTTAGACATTTTTTGAGAATTTCCGGAAAGATATTTAGGCGATTTTACGTGATATTTGTGTAAAGGCCTAGGCCAATACCTCATTAGGAATATGGAGAAACGGGCTTAAATGGGAATTGGGACAAACGATTTTAAAGCATATGAGTCAGGTGAAGGTAAAGTCTGTATACAAGCCAAGTGGCCCATCAGGCCGGAGCTTATCCCGGTTTCCGTAGGAGTATTTCTACTCTCCCTGGATCGGATGTTAGTCCATCGCAGGGGTACCCCCAGCATTAAGTTCGCCCGTACCAGGCCAATTTATGCACCTGGGTGGAAAGAGACACTGTGAGAGTAAAGTGTGTTGCCCAAGGACACAAGCATGGATATTAATTTTGCCGACGGCTTTGCAGTCATTTTATCTTACCATTAAACAAATAAATTCACCAAGCATTTCATCAAACCGAACAAACAAATAAAAACGAGGAAGTCTCCATACTTTGTAAACACAATATGCAAATTACCACGTTCGAGCGTCAAATATAGCGAATCCTGTTCGCTTTCAAAGTATAAAATGGTTTCTCGACCTTTCTCCTTTTCCAACTGTAACAAAAGAAGACATTTTAGCAGTCTACGAAGCGGCTGTCCCTACTAACACAAAGACTTAATTTGTATCAAACAAACGTTTGAGTTTAGAATAGTCTGGTTTTTTATCAGTTTTCTAAGGTTTCACCGTAATTCTAATTGAGTATTTTGACAGGATTATTATAAGCTGACTGAGTGATATTTACTCGACGATCTATCCTAAGAGATCTACTGATAGGTAGCCAGCCTCGTGAATCAATAAAATAATAGCGGATACTACACCAAACAGGAAGTCTACTAAGAAGTACAATGGCTGTTCACATGGGTTATAATTCGTGGTACATTTCTTTGCCGTTCTTCTGGAGAACGTGATGCACGACGACCAATCAAGTTCTAAAATGTCTTTCCCGAATTTTGGCACTGTCTGTCGTATTTGAGAACTCTGACAATGATAGACAAACAGGACCGAATCTAAATTCCTGTGAGATTCGTAGGTTGCCGGAATAATAATCGACTTTGTCCTTGGCTTTGCCGTCGTCGTTGCTAAAACGAGCTCCCTAATATCATGGTGGTGGTGTGGTATTGGTCCTGGTGGTTTTAATGACGAAGATGATGGTGTGGTGATGATTCTACTCCCTTTTAGGACATTCTCTGTTGCTTATATAACAGTCAGCAAAAGGGGTCTTGACAGTAAAACCACCTGCTTGCCTAGTTCAATTTTTGTCAAGTCACATCTGACATGGAGCTGACATGAAAACAACATAATTAAAAAGCACGCCAGTAGGTCATCGACTCCGAGGCCACATAATTTCCCATACGGTCCTCTCAGTCACGAACATGTAGTAAGCTCATATATATACAAAATGCGCTTAGACTGTCCTTTATTGCAGAGTGGGAATCTTCAGAATGATGGCAACAGCAAACCTTTCTGGAGATGGCATGCAGGAAACAGTGGAGCAACTGTTCTGCCCGACACATTTAACTGCAGCAGCTGAAATTCACGGCCAGTTGACATTTATTTCAGTTTTAAACATTTTTCTCTCCATCACATCATTCCTTGGAAATGTTCTGATCCTAGTCGCTCTTCACAAGGAATCTTCTCTTCATCCGCCTTCCAAACTCTTGCTTCGCTGCCTGGCAACAACTGATCTTTGTGTTGGTCTTATTTCAGAACCTATTGCGGTTGCCTACTGGATGTCTCTACGGGATGGTCATTGGAATATTTGTCCCTACGCATCAGCGGCGAGTATTGTATCAGGTACAATTTTGTCCGGAGTGTCTCTGTTGACAATGACTGCGATAAACGTGGACAGACTTCTCGCCCTTTTGTTGCGACTGAGATACAGACAAGTTGTAACTTTGAAGCGAACCTACGTGATCATTGTTTGCATGTGGGTTTTGCCCACTGCCATAACAACAACGTACTTTTGGGATTTCCTTATAACCTTGTGGTTAATCGTGATAGGGGAATTACTGTGCCTAGTAACCTCAATCATCGCTTACACAAAGATTTTCCTAACCCTTCGTCGTCATCAAGCTCAGTTACAAGACCAGTCTCAACAACCGAACCAAACAAGTCCACTGAACATAGCGAGATACAAAAAGGCAGTGTCCAGTGCACTTTGGTTGCAACTGACACTGGTAGCTTGCTATCTTCCCCAAGGTTTAGTGGCGGCTTTGGCCCCTAATAGTGGACTATCTTCATCTGTTTTTCTTGCTATCCAATATGCAGCTACATTAGTTTTCTTAAACTCGTCGTTGAACCCGATTCTTTACTGCTGGAAGATGCAAGAAGTGAGACAAGCAGTAAAGGAGACAATCAGACAAGTGCTTTGCTGATCATCGTGTTAACTCTTGTCGAGTTATATCACCCTTAGCTTACCGAGAGAAGATAAAAAAAATAGTTAACGTTTACGAAGATATCATTAAAGCTGCCTTAGCCCTGTCTAGCTTGAAACAGAAAACCTTCATACGTGTAACATAGATATTAATGTTCTAAACATCGGTAACTTGAAATGAAAACATATCTTCATGAATTCCAACTACATCGTTTTGTGAAGAGAATTAATTAACATAACAAGTAAGCGGGTTAATTCTAGTCTGGTTGCGCTAATGTTTTGTTTCTCTTCCAGTGTAGAACTGCTTTTCAGTGTTCAAAAAAATAAATTTAATTGATGGCCTCGAGCAGTGTGGGGAAAAGTTCTATTGGGTTGATGAAGAACGCAGGAAGTGCGACCTAATTTTAGCAATAAACGTTTGAGTTCAGATTAAAAAGAAGATCGAGGGAAATTCTGCTCGCAGGGTAACTATTGCCAGGTTTTTGAATGACAAAAACAATGATCAAAGCAAGTAGTTGGCAGTCGTTGGCAGTAGTTGGCAGTAGTTGAGGCAGATGTTTCGCTAATAAATTATATTTTCTCAAGATGCGTCACTTTTGGAACATAAGTATAGTCGGTAAATTAAACTGACTGCAGGGATGGACAAAATAAAGACCTGTTCTATGCAATAATTTTCAAAAACTCCTAAAATAAGAACAAAAATTAAACGCAGTGTCTGGTGCAGTTCGGTTTGATCGCTTGTTTATCTACCTTAGGGTATATAACTAGTATTATTATACATTGAACTCTCTATCTCTTTTCCGATTGGCCGAAAGCGTGCAGCGATTTTTCGAAATCAGCGCCTGTGACGTCATCTACTGGCTGCAGACTATATAACATTCATGTCAAGGACACTCAAGGTTACGGGTGATCATGTCATGTATGACCGCGGTGCATGATTTCTAAGGGTAATCATGTCAAGTTCGCGCGCTTTGTGTTGCCACCCCGTCAGTGAGGGCCTTCGGTTTCTGCTCATAACTGCTAGCTCGACCTTGATTATTCTGGATATCACGAAAACCTTATCTAATAATTGTTCAATAATTCTCACTAAAGCTGCCGCCGTTTTCTTTTACTTTTTTGTGCTGATTGAGGACAACTGAACTTCCTTGTATGAAGTAAAACTTTTATTTTCTATTTTTCCCCCAAGGGACCAGTCATTAAGTGATTTGTTATATAGCAAAACAAAACAAAAGTAAATTTTGAAAAACGCGCTGAGATTTCAGCGACAACATCAGGCCACCCTCAACTGCACGCTCTGATTCCGTGCAACAACGGTCAACATTTCGCGGGTAACAGTGAACTGTTTCCCGTTTGACGTCATGTTTTCGCAATGTTGCCCGCTCATGGCATTTGGTGGTAATCAGTTTCATTGTTAGAGGTCATGTCGCCATGACCTAGCCAAAATGAATGGGCGCGCTGTATAGCGGAAAAAACGCCAGCTATATAACAACATGTGTTAATATCTCGAAAACGTGCAAAACGCCACTTACGAGATGGTTTAGCTAGAATTCTCGCTTTGAATTTCGACTCAGAAAACCACTTTTTCAATTACTTACGATATCTTCTGAGTTGTTTTCCTCTCAAAATTCATCTTCAGGATCTTTGAAATCATTTTAAATTTAGGGTCTCTGCCATCTCGAAGCGTATTACGCGCCTAGTTTTTTTTTTTAAATCGGGATCGATTCGAGCACTACTGCAAATATTTAATACCGTTCTTCTTTATACGAGGGGTTACTATTGGGTTTTGGCAGGAACCCATCACCTGGTTTTGGCCTCTGGGCCAAAACCTTGCTTGCGGGGGCAAATTATATTGGCGCCGACTTATAGCGAACAGGCTTCATTAAACCCGATTCTTTACTGCTGGAAGATACAATAACTGAGACAAGCAATAAATTGAAGGACACAATCAGACAAGTGCTTTGCTGTTCATAGTGTTAGTTATTGTCGCGTTAAATCATCTCTTGAGCTTACCAGAAAAAGGTGTAAAAGATAATTAACAGGTAGACATGGGGATTTCCTAGACTGCAAAACAGTCGTATTTTTTGCGAACGCGAGCGACGATCAATATTCGAACGAAAGGTCTGGAGCGAGTGTAAAAACGGCGAGGGAGAATGGGGAGAGACGCTAAAAAATACGGGCGTGTGAGGCTCGCGCACTTCACACGCGAGGATCGCGCCTTCCGAAAACGTCCGAAAACGACTGCTTTGCAGTCTAGGGATTTCCCCAAAACTGTTATTAAACATTAAGAGTGGAGCTTTCTTACGTTAGTATATCGGAATTGCTTGTATTATTTCTAACATTAACAATGTCATTATTAGAAATTTGTTTCCAAGACTTTTATTTGAAATTAAGGCAATAAATAAAATTCATGTCAATTGTTGCCTTATTTTATTGCTTGAATAAATTTTATTAAAATTTATTCAAACAATACCTTTTTGCCAGGCCGGAGAGTTAAATTAAAACAATCATTGCGCGGGTTAGCTCAGTTAAGCTGCAAAAGCGTTGTTCTTTGCATTAAGACTTACGTAAGAAGCTGAGGGATCTGAGAGAATGCCACAAATGAATGTAGAAGGGCCATTTCTGAATTCAAGAAATAAATTTTATGACGTCGCGCAATTCGGGAAGAAGTTCGATTGCCAAGCCGCGTTTGCGGATCACAGTATCATATCAGCGACTTTTATTTTAATAGTAAACGTTTGAGTTCAGATTCGTCTGTTCTTTCATTAGTTGTCTTTGGTCTTATTTCCAAATTTCAACGAAGTCGTAAAATCATTTCATAATCACGCCCTTTTCGCGTCATAGGACGCACGTGGCATCCATGAATGTATTTACATTAATTTTATAGAATAAAATAATGACGAGGAAGTTTTAAAATATAAGTGCAGTTAACATTCGCATAATAGTCAAAGCGCGGCTTCTACATTCATCGAGGCGGCTGTTCGCTGTTGTATTTTCTAAAGACCCGTCATCTCTGGAACTGAATAAATTTAGTCAATAATTTAAACTGACTGCTGACAGCTGGGATTGACAAATTTAAAAAGAACTGTTGTAAACGATAACTTGGGTGCTTGAGACGAAAAGGGCAATTATCCTTTCCTATTTTATACTCCTTGAAAGTCATGAAAGACGAGAAGTTGTTTGGAGCATTACTTTTTTGAAAAATCCACAACTTGTCGCCAAAACAATGCATATTCCGTAGCTGCAAGTGGAGATGTTATGAACACCTGATGACTATAGTTTAATGTTTTTCAAGTCATCCGTGGATTGACATGTTTGTCAAAATAATTAAAAGTCATAGCACGTACGTCAGAACTTCCCGTCAAATATTCTGCAGCACGGTCCTCCTGCTGTTATTATTGTTATTGCAGGGCACGAAGATCGCAGAGTAATGGCAATAGCAAACTTTTCCGGAGATTTGACGCAGAAAACGTATAAACAACAGTTATGCCGGGCAAGTTTAACTGCAGCGGCTGAAATTCATGGCCAGTTGACTTTTCTTTCAGCTTTAAACATTTTTCTCTCCATCACTGCAATTCTTGGAAATGCTTTGATTCTAGTTTCTCTTCGCAAGCAGTCTTCACTTCATCCCCGCTCCAAAATCTTGCTTCGTAGCCTTGCGGTAAGTGATCTTTGTGTTGGTCTCATTTCTGAGCCTCTCACGGTCACTTACTGGTTGTCTGAACTGAATGGTCATTGGAATATTTGTCGCTACGTATGGGCGGCGGGTTGTATAGCAAGTATTATCTTGTGTGTAGTGTCTCTGTTGACAGTGACTGCGATAAGCGTGGACAGACTTCTCGCCTTGTTGGGACTGAGATACAGACAAGAGGTAACTTTGAAAGGAACCTACGTGATCGTCACAACATTTTGGGTTATGTCCACTGCCATAACAACAATGTATTTTTGGAATTTCCTCATAGCGTTATGGTATGCCTTTTCAGTCGTATTACTGTGTCTTGTAATCTCAATCTTTTCTTACACAAAGATCTTCTTTTCCCTCCGCCATTATCAAGCACAGCTACAAAGCCAGACTCAACGACCTAGCCAAGAAAATCCGCTGAACATAGCACGATACAAAAAGGCAGTGTCCAGTGCACTTTGGTTGCAACTGACACTGGTGGCTTGTTATCTGCCTCATGGTATAGTGACAGCTTTGTGGTCGAACAATGAACTATTCCCATCTGTTTTCCTCGCTACCAAATATACCATCACTTCAGTTTTCTTAAACTCGTCATTAAACCCGATTTTTTACTGCTGGAAAATACAAGAAGTGAGACAAGGAGTTAAGAACACAATCAGACAAGTGCTTTGCTGTCCTTAAGGTGACTCCCTATAGTTTTACGTTCATTCGCGCGCTGAGGACGAAAGCAGTAAGTAATCTGCGTGCGCTTATAATCAAAGGGAAACGTCAGTGTTTTTCCGTGTTTTAGCACGAAAAGCAAATTAAACTGACAATGAATTTTCTCGCATTTCCTTCGTTGAAATCCCGTAAAATTTGGCAGACTGATTACAGCTATTTTACTTAAGTTGGAGCTCTTTTTTTCAGGGAAATATATTTAACCAGTTTTTCCGCAGCGGTGTAAGACTTAAATTTGAAAAATCGAAAAACCTCCCTGTACAACAAAACCTACTTTTTTCATGTTTAAAATTCCTATCTCTCCGGATTCGATGCCTTATACTGTCAAAATTTTGAAAGATTTCATCGAAGGAAATTCAAGAAAGTCAAAAATAAAGCCATATGAACGATAAAAACGCATTTGTTTGGGAATTAACAATTGAAAGCCAAAAAATTAACAGGGGTGATTCAAAAACACTGTCAACTGAGGACTGCGTATTAAAACGAATGCAAAAACAGCATTCAAAACACAACCGACTAGTGCTAGGCTCGATTTCCGTCGCTCTCTCGTGTCCGGTCTACGTTCCCGAACAGCGGCTGGTTATCGAGCCTACACTAGCGCTGGCATAAAAGCTTGCCATGTTTAGGATATCAAGATTGTCTGAAGTATAAACAACAGTGGAGGCTTCATTATTGTAGATGAAAAAGTTGTCTTGAAGACTTGTAAATTTAATTATTTAAATAAAGACCTAATAGGGGGTTACTGCCAGTTGCTGCTCTAAATTGTCCAAACACTTTCGTTTAGTCGAGGGAGTTAATGAAAGTAGTAATTGAGCGGTTTAGTCGGTCGGGTTCAGCTGCTATTAAAGTGAAGTTTCTTTTCATTTTTAAAACACAGGCAGGGAGCCGAGAGATCCGACAGAAATCTTCCGCTCGATTTTATTTGGGTGTAGAACGAACATTTCAGTGATCAAGGAAAACAAACAAAAAAAATTGATAGCCTCTTGCAATTCGAGGAAATCGGGTATAGGACGTTGTCACTCCGATCTCATCCTGTCACTAATCGTTTGAGTTCGGATAAGTTTGGCTTTTCCGGAGTCAGTTGTATTCAGTCTTGAATCCAGAATAAATGGAATGATTTTAAAGTAATGACAGGAATTTTATTTTATATTTGGCAGTTGACACTCGGGCAGCAGTTAATACAGAATTGTGATATGTTCATTGAGGCAGATGTTCACTATTGTTTTTCTCCTTCTGAAAATCCTTCATTTTTGGAAAAAAATATGTTAGGGATGAAAAACTGTTAGAACAAAGACTGGCTCTGAACGAGAATTTAGGATAGTTGTCCTTTCTTTTTAATTGCCCTTGAAAGAAGAGAAATTGCTTGGAGGATTTCTTTTAAAATTTCATAACTTCAGTGTTACACAAAGGGTGTATATCTCGGCAGCAGCGACGAGAAATGTTATTTATGAATGACCAGAATACCAAAATTAAATAGTCGGTTGGAGTGTGCCGTTTTCGTGGAGTACTTATCAGGAGTACCCGACGGAGCCGCTCGACAGNATGACAGAAATTTCCAACCGAAATTTTCGGAATTTTTCTCCAGATGATACACAACCTATGACAACTGTTTCTGCAGTCAAATTTACTTGTCTCCCAAACCTTCTTGGCGAAGCGAAACTCGATATGTGAGTCATCCGGCCACTTGATCAACATTTGACAAGACAGTTGGCATTTTTGCAAATTACGTAATAGATGACCTGCTAACACGATTGACGTTAAACCATCTTCCTTCTGAATAATTGCGCAGTTATTACGGGAGACGAAATACAGGAAGTTTTAATTCACCGTTTCAAAGGCGTCATGTAAATTAGGGGTTGCGTGCAATATCCACTGAATCCTGTTTAGAAATCTTTCGTTAACAGTACAGAATGATGGCTGAAAAAAACTTTACTCGAGGTGGAAAGGAGACCGAAATAATCGTAGAACCGTTATGTTCGAACATTTTGACAGGTGGATCACACGACAAGTTGATATATCTCGCAGCATTCAACGTTTTTCTATCCATTACTGCATTTCTTGGGAATACTCTGATCCTAGTCGCCCTTCGCAAGGAGTCTTCCCTTCATCCTCCGTCCAAACTCTTGCTTCGTTGTCTGGCAGTTACTGATCTTTGTGTTGGTCTTATTGCGGAGCCTCTCCTTGTCGTCTATTGGATGTCCTTGGTTCAGGAATATTGGGATTTTTGTCGCTACGTATTTTACTCTAGTTATATTTCCGGCTTTATTTTATGTTCAGTATCTTTGCTTGTACTAACTGCTATTAGCGTGGACAGACTTTTCGCTTTGCTTTTAGGACTGAGATACCGACAAGTTGTAACTTTGAAGCGACTCTACGTGATCGTAGTTACCTTTTGGATTGTGTCCACTGTCGCTGCGATGTGTTTTCTTGTAAACCGCCTTATAAACTCTTGGTATTGTTACACTGTCATGCCATTATCTGTAGTAATCTCAGTCATCTGCTACACAAAGATTTTCCTCGGGCTACGCCATCAGCAAAAGCGGCAAGCACAAGTTGCACAAGGTCTTGTCCAACAAGACAGTCCAACCCAAACCATTCGACTGAACAAAGTGCGATACAGAAAGGCAGTGTCCAGCGCACTGTGGTTGCAGTTGGTACTAGCTGTGTGTTATCTACCCTATAATGTAGTGTCAGTCTTGTTCAGTGATCACGGTAAACTATCGTCATTCAGTTTTCTTGCTTGGCAATTAGCAGTGACTTTAGTTTACCTTAACTCGTCGTTAAACCCGTTTCTTTACTGTTGGAAGATAACTGAAGTGAGACAAGCTGTAAAGAGGACAATCAGACAAGTTCTTTGCTGTTCACCGAGTTAGTTTAATTTATTGTAGTGTTATGCATCTGTTATTCCTTACAAAATAAAGCGAATTAAAATAGAGTTACAATGGTGGAGAACCTGAGTTCTTGGGACATTGTGTAATGCACCGAATTATCTGGGCTTTACCACTGATGTTTGAAAAAGCACTGCTATCCTTTTGAAATTCCGTTGCTGTTTCCCCCTCCCTTCTAAATAAAATATTGAAACTCAGGAGAATTTGCAGGTACTAGTTTTCAACATTGTATGTGGGGTAGGGGGAGAGGTAGGTGAAGTTGTATTCGCGCGCGACTGTTTGTCTGTTTGTCTGGCGTCTGTGCAAAAGTGCCAAAAGTGCAAATTTGTCCCAAGACTTTTTTCCATGATTGTAGATAACAAAGAAGGATAATCTATGAAATTTAATTTTACACGAGCTTGAGATTGCAAATGTGTCCTTGAATATATTATTAAACACTGGTTTTAAAGGGGAGTTTATATCAGAGCTTCAAAGCAAACAGGAAGAAGCTAGAACCTTCTAGTACTCGGAAGATCAACACCTGCCGCGCTTTCTAATGTTATTAACAACAGCTTTAGTAGCCTTATTTGCAAAATAAATACAACTTTAAATGTCACTTTTCTCCTTTATCATGTAAACCACATCTCATAATTTCGCGTAGGGGCGTCTTATTTCATTCCTAGTTAAGCATTAGACCAGCGTCTACAGTTCGAACTTGACTCTGCTTTTTCAATTTGTTGGTTATTTTGTGCCCGAAAGAACACTGGGTATTTATGACCCGAGTGAAAAATCAACCTCGTTCCCAGACTCTCTCTTCTTACCGTTCTTTCTCGCTCCAGGAGGGAGGGAGGAAGAGAAGAAATAACTAGGAACAAGGTTGATATTTACGTCCATTACAACACGATAACAACAAAAAACCTATTGCCATGAATTGAACGGTCTGTAAAACAAGTTGACTTGCTGTCAAAATCATCCGTTTCATGAATATTAATATATGACCTGATATGTTCGATGAACAATAAAGCCAAACAGGAATGACCCGCCTCAATTGAATAATAATTACTTGTCATAAGTTANATAGGTATATTGCTTTGTGTAGCAACTTCGTTCGTCTCCTACACAAAGATTTTCCTTGTACTCCGTCAACACCAAACTCGAGTGCAAGACCGACAACAACCGAGCCAAGCAATTTCACTGAACATAGCGCGATACAAGAAGGCAGTGTCCAGTGCACTATGGGTGCAGTTAGCATTATTTGCTTGTTATCTACCATATGGTATAGTAAGAGCTACGATTGATAATGGTAAGCTATCGCCATCCAGTTTTCTCGCTTGGGAACTTGCAAAGACTTTGGTTTACCTTAACTCGTCGTTAAACCCGTTTCTTTACTACTGGAAGGTTGGTGGAGTAAAACAAGCAATAAAGGAGACAATCAGACAAGCAGTTTGCTGTTTGTCGAGTTAGTTGTTTTCCAACTAATTCATTTGTTATCCTGTACGACGTAAAGCTAAACATAAAGATAGTTGAAAAAAGGAAAACAGATCAATGATGTATTTTCTTTTTGCTTAGTCTTATCGCAAGTAACCTGGATTATTTTATAGTATTGAACTATTTTGAACACCGGAAGTATATAAAGCAAGGGAAAACATCTGCGGCACTTTTTCTTTTGTGTAGTTAAGCAAGACTTTCTTGATGCTGCGTTACCAAACAATAACACCGGACGTTTTAGTACATTAGTTCGCCTGTTGAATGTCTATCTAAGTCTCATTTTTGACTTTATAGGAAAGCTGACAACATATTTAGTGCATGAACAGAACCTTGTACTATTCAGATTATTATCTAAACGTGCCAAACATAAACAGGTATTTAAACCAATTCCTATAATAAAAAACCTTTGCCGTCAGATTAGAAGTTTCTGTTTTACTGGCAGGTGAGCTTAGAGCGCACATTTCCAACCAAACAATAAAGCGAAAAAAATATGCTCATAAGACAATTCCTGCAGTAAAGTATAGTTTGGTGACACTTCCAACCAACAAATGATTGTTTCAAAAATATGTTATCGAACCTGTCGCTGTCTAATGTTTCGTTTATTTATTTTTTTCGGGCCTTGCTTTGAAAGTAGTGTAAGCCAGTTGGCGAACCCCACGAGGTCTCCTATTGTCTCCTATGTCTGGAGGTGTGTTGAGGTGATTCCTCACGTTTGCATTGCGCATCCTTACTGCGCATAATTTATGGCGTCATTAGCGCGCATTCGCGCACGCGCACATTGAAAACATGGCGGATTTGCCTTGATATTGAGTTCTGTCAGTTGAAAAATGGCTATNTTCCAAAGTTAGTAAACGTGAAATTATCTTTTGATTTACTATATTAGCGTTCGAAATTTTACGCATCGGTTGACTAATCTTCAAAATTATGACCATGTCACTGTTAACATGCCGAAGGCCCGTAAAAGGTCCCCGAGAAAATGCAAGCGCACAAAGGGAAACGCTGGAGAGGACACCGTAAACGGGACTACATCGACTGATGTTGATGCAAAGGCAAAGATACTGGAAGAAATGACAATAGCTGGGTAAGAAAAAAAAATGTTGCACTGCTGATTCTAATTTTGTACAATCGATCTGCCTTTAATTTTCGTCCACTTCTCTTCGTCAATCTCCTCTGCTTCGACAGTTTGTTGCAACAGTATTTTAGCGCGGCTTGCGTTCATTTCGGCCTGCTCGCTGGCTTCGTGATCGCAATCGCTGTCGAGTTCATCATTGATTGTAAAACGAACCCTTTGTCGCTTTCCGCTAATTCAGCGGCCCACTCTTTGTCGAAAGTGTTTTCCGCCTTCTTTGGCCTTCCTTTAGCCGATGAAAACGGGCAAGGTCGCTCTGTCTTCTTCGAAGACATCCGGCACTGATTATGGCGCGCGAATCGCGTGTCAACTCAGCATAATCTTGATGTCATGTGACTTCTTGCCTCGCTAATTAATTCATTTGACAGAACTTGTCGACTCTCAATTAAGGAAATAATATGCAAAAAATCTTTCTCGCGCAATAACTAGCGGCAGATATAATATTTTTTCGTGGAGTTTTTTTTATTTTAAAGATTACCTTAAGATTTATCCAACCACTTAAAAAAGTAAAATTATGCAAAATGGCAAATTTTCCCCTACTGATACCTACATAAAGCTGACGTAAAGCGCGGGAAAACGTACATCAGCGAGTCACGATTGGTTTTGGTGTTACTTCCGATTGGATGAGAAAGTGGCGCGGGATTCTTAAGGTGATTCCTCACATTTGCATTGCGCGTCCTTACTGCGCATAATTTATGGCGTCTTTAGCTCGCGCTTGCGCACGCGCACATTGAAAACATGGCGGATTTGCCTTGATATTGAGTTCTGTCAGTTGAAAAATGGCTATAGCTCACTAACGAGCTCGGGCACCCCACATTTTTTTCCGGTCATTTTAATCAACTAATCATTAGCTTTGCGTGAGAAAAGAATGATCCGTTTTCTATTGTTGAAAATTGAATAAATAAGGAAAATAGCAGCTGCACTGTAGTCTTTTCTATTTTGCAGTTTGATGGCCATGACAAACAATTTGGTTCCAATATTTTAACAAGGATTCAGCTGTCTGTCAAAATCAAACTTAAAAAGTTTTGACAAGTATTGACTGTAGTTTGAGGCGTGTTTTCATGAGTCTGGGCTCACAAAGATTTTAAAATAACTTGGAATGTGTTCTTGTAATAAGAATTAAATAATGCCAAAATGGGACATTTTCAATGCCTCACTGCTCCTTAACGAACATGAGCACCCCCTTTTTATTTTATAATTGAAGTTCTCATATGATAAATATTCAGTGGACAAAGTGTGAACAAAAATCTATTGACAGTTTTATTTCAGGGGAATTACCTTAAGCAAGTCGTCTCGCGTGGCGATGCAACCAATTACTTTGAAAACCGCTTTGATGTTTACAATTAAATTAACTTTGTTAAACAAAGGTAGCATATATTAACAGTCCTATGACTGAAAAAAGAAAACCACGGCCCTTTGATAAATTTCTGACTGGATTGGAATTAGTGACAATCATCCAAGTTTCGCAGTTCATGCTTAGACTCGCCTATACTTACAGTCAGGGTCCCTGCATTGTTGCTCAGTCCTTGCCTGGAATTTTTGAGTCGTGATGTGTTCAATGTTGTTAATGAAGTCAGCTGAGCGAAGTGGACAGGAAATAGTTGAGCCTATTGAAAAAGGAAATTCAAAACGTTTTCACCAATTGTCAAAAAGATAAATGAGTTTTAACATATCAAGATGTATCAAATGTGCCACATAACCCAGGAAACTGTAACTCTTCGCTTTCTGAATGGAAAACTAAAATTCCAAGAAATTACATAGAGAGAAATCTTTATTCTTGTCAAAAAACGTTTTCAAGTTTAGGAGGTACACTTCAACCAGTGGAAGTTCCTTTAATCTTTGCATTGACAAGAAGTGCTATCTGGTGAAATTTGAAAATTCCTGGATAGGATCTTCCCAGTCTGGCACATGTATGATCAATTCTGTCTTTTTTCACCTCTAAATTGCACCACTTTTAAACCTCCAAAAGGAGAATTCTGCCATTATTGTGTAAGAATACATAGGAAAATGCTTACACTAAGTCAAACAACCTTACCTTCCCGTAAGAGGTCACATTTCTCCTCAGAGAACACAGTCACTAAAGTGACACTAGACTGAGAACATAATCTCTCACAAAGGGCAAAATACACTCAAAATGTCAGCTTTTCCATTTTTGCCCTACAGTGGTTCATACAACTTTTCCAACTTTAAGTTGATAATCAACTATTGTAAGTGTTTCACTAGAGTTTCAATAAAAACTAATCATTTTGTTTGAGAATGAGAACAGACCTTCTTTTGTATACTGAAGTTTACCTTTTTGCTTGGCTTCCAAAAGAGACAAGAGGTAACTACTGCTTTGCCACAAAAGCATGTTATTATCTCCTTCATAAGTACAGTTTGGATCATTATCATCTCTTAACTCACCAAACCTGTTGACTGAAAGAAAAGAAAAACAAATCATTTAACACAGCAATATCATTACCACAGTTATCTGTGTCCCTCCAGAGTACATATTATATTTTAGAGGCACCCCGGCCAAGTTTTTTTTTATCTTTTTAGTGATTCTCAAGCTCATTCACAGAATGTTTTACACTTTGAAACACAAGTAGGTTTCACCAAATACATTTTTGACTAATAACTGGCACTTAATGCTCAAGTCAAGGTCATACTATTGCTATGGTAGATGTGAATTTTGTGAACCAAGATGTTGAAAACTTGATTTCCAACAATTGGGTATAACTTAACAACAGACAAGGACTTTAAGAAATAATCTTTTAAGAAGAAAGGATGTAGACTGTCACAGGCCACCTTAGAAGATTAGAAACAAATTTTAAGCAGAGTTGTTGATTACTTGCAAGGTAACCATGACCACCACAAGCCTCTCGGCATTCCTGGATAGCACTCTGTGCAACCCAACCAGCCAGTGGTTTGCTGGCGGATGACAGTGCATGGATCTCACGTCCCAAAGCTGCCTGAAAGGCAAAATAAAAAAAAAATTAATAAGCATCAAATTGAGGAAAAGATGATGATGCAAAGAGCCTTTCACTTCTGCCATGCATGATAACAAATACTAACTGAACACAAGGGCCGTACTGGAGATTATTGGCCCCGAGGTTGTGACAGTAGAGACTGAGTGCAGTGAGGTCCATACAAAAAAGAACTGAGTGACAATTCCTCAATACGCTCAAGCAAGCTAGGTTTTAGTAAGTAGTTTAGTATGTGGCTCTCAAGCCATGAATTTGTTGATTTTCGAAAACAAAAAAAATTCACGCCTGATGACTGTTTCCATAGATTGGTTTGTATGGCAAAATCCAGACCAAGGAAGAACCAATCAGAATGCTCAGATCTACCTCAAGACTACCTTGCCATATATACCTCTTACTAACCAAGTTCGAGGTCTATACTGTAAGTTACGGACCAAGTTTTTTCCCCTTTGATTTACGGCCCAAGCGCCAAGCGCGCGGGTCATAAATCACAGGGGAAAAAACAACTTACATACATGTACAGTACAGACCGAGAAGACGAGGTTAGTAAGATATTTATTATATCTCTACTGTGTGCCTGACGGGTTCAGAAACAATAATTTTATTTCTGTTCATGCAGACTCGGAAAGGCTTCAAATTTCTGACGCACCTTGAAAGCAAAACGAGTCACTTTGAAACTGTTTTTACGTCGTTAGCACGCTTTATTACATAACTTAGAGTATAAGAGAGTTTTAAACTTTCACTTGCTATAAAAGTTACGAACACTTAAAAAAAGAGAACACGAAACAGTTTGGCAACAAAACCAACTTTAAATTTTAGCAGGCGGTAAAGGAGAATACAACCCACTAAATTGACCAATCACAGCGTGCATACTAATTGAGAGATATAATAAAATAATTTAGTTAACTGACTGATCTGGCTCCTTAATCTTTGAGAAGTATTATTACAAAGTATTCACTGTAAACCTTAGAGGAAGGAAACCACTCTTCAGCTACATCCACCCCAAAAAACATCTGCCTTATTGCCATTTCTAAAAGAAACACTTACTTGAAGTTTGCCTGTTTCTCCCATCATCATACCAATTTGTAGCTGCACAAAGTTCAAATAAAAAGTCCTTGCAAAATAAGTCAGGGCATATGTTGCCGCAAGCTTGGGAATAAGTCTCCATTGCTGAAAAAAATACATAAAGCTGGCTGTTAAGATTGATTGGAGGAAACTTTTGTAGCCAATAAATAATGAGAGAAGGAAAGTGAGTAACTTTAATTGATATCAGAGTAACAGAGTTTTTGAAACAAAACATTTCTTTCTTTAACTAAATGCATCCATGAAATATTCCCTTAGCATATGGCTATTTCTTCTGTGCAGATAGAAACCTTCACATTTACTTGCTATATGCAAAGGGATAGGTAGCTTAGGCCATTTCTTTCAACAAAAAAAACTTGCTCTTTGCTGACTATTAAAGGAATTACCTAACCCTTACACAATTCAGATGTCCTGACATTACCTGCATTTGATATTCCAGCACTGGAATCTCACCCTTTCCTGGTGGACCAAACTGCTTTCTCACAGCAGAGTACCTAACAAGGAATTTAACAGGTAAAATGATGACGAAAATGATGTGGGAGGCAGGGAGACCTTGTACTGGTTCATTTTTCTAAAAGATCCACTTCTAGTTTATCTAATTGAAGGATTACTACCAAAATTGCCTTTGAAAATAGATACCTCACCTCATCACATCCTCTAAGATATAAACAGCACCAGTACTTTCTTAAAATAGGAAAAGTAAAGATAAAGTCTGCATACGAGCCAGGTGGCCCATCAGGACGGAGCTTATCCTGGTTTCTGTTGCATGAAGTGACTAGGAGTATTTCTACTCCCCTCTGGATGGGATGCTAGTCCATCACAGGGTTACCCATATTTATACACCTGGGTGGAGGGAGGCACTTTGAAAGTAAAGTGTCTTGCCCAAGAACTCAACACAGCGTCCCCAGCCAGGGCTCAAAGGCAGGTCACTTGATCTGGAAGCAAGTGCACTAAATGCTGCACTTCCACTTTTCTTTTCTTTTCTTCTTGAACTATGTACAGCACAACAATATTCTACCTTATGGCAATGGGCATACACATTCGCAGATTGGCTACAGCCATACTTGTTATCGCCACTCGTCCACTAGACAGAGCCCCCAGTGCAGCTCCAAATCTCTTGTTTGGGTCTTTAAATGGTGTAACATACTCTCCCGCAGGTGTCACATCAGCTGTCTTATTGCCCAGTAAGTTTTCCCTTGGAATATGAACTTGGTTAAAAGCTACAAAACTGAAAGTATTAAATAATTACATATGTTAAAATTAAAAAGTAGAGCAGAACATTCAGGTTTGATTGAACTTGCTAAACATATAAAAAAAAAAATGTTTAAAGCACACCTGGGCMAATTTTCATTATAATATAATATATAGTACTAACATCAAATTTACTTTTCAAACCTGGTGTGGCAAGAAATTAATATCAGAAGACCAAAAATAAAATTTGAAAAATTTGAATAGGTTTTTGGAAAGTTGTACATGTCTTAAAAAATAAACGAATGTTCCACTTCAGCCAATCTAAATAAGGTTTCTTGGTGTCCATTCACCTCAAGTAACAGTTGATGTAACATGCCAAGCTTTTAAACATACTCTTACCCATTATCTAGTCCATTTTGACCAAGTTTCTCTCCAAGATCCCCCACAGTCACCCCAGGCATGGGTGAGAGATCTGTGGTGCTACGCACTTGAACAACAAACGAGTGGAGACCGTGGCATGTGCCGTCAGGTGTGTAAAGCTGTGCATATACTATAGCATGAGTAGCAGTTTGACCCAGATTGCCGACCCAACACTTTGTAGCTTCAAAGTTGGGAGTATGAACAACAAATTCCTTTTGATCGGAAAAAACAACAAGTAGCTATTAGTAATTCTCCATTCCCTCTATGAGAAGTGCCTGCAGCGAATTAGGGTACACTGCAACCTCAATTGAACAAACCTCTATTTAAACCTCTATGCATGGTAAATAAAAAGCAGTATTTTCTGAATATGAAATCGTTATTAAAAGTGCTTCATTTGGCATATATCTGGGTGTTGGTAGAACATGTAATCTTTTAGAAGAAATGACACCAAAAAAGGCTCACTGAAGAACAATGTTTCCAGCACATCACAATCTACATGCTACTAGAAAAAACAGAGATAGGTACTGGCCTATTAGGCCTCGTCTCATATGCAGACTTTACCTTTCTTCACAAGGTTGATAAAGTGTCTGACTACAACATTGCTACCACTGATAATTTCATGCTTTATTAATCATTATAATAATAATAATAATAATAATAATAAATATATTAAAAAAATAAAATAATAATAATAACAATAATAATTTAATAATATAATAATAATAATAATAATGATAGTAATAGTAATAATTGTAATATTTCAAGAGGGAACCCAGCTCGCCATGGCAGTTTTCAGTGGGACCCTCAAAAAAAAAAAATTAATTCCATTCATGCCTTGCTTACAAGAAAAATGAAAAATAAAATCAGTCAGTTCTCTCTGAATATGATGCAAAACAAAATAAAACAATTTTGGGTCAAACCTTTTTCCTGAATATCCGAGTCTTTTTTATAATAAGAACTCTTGATATATGAGTTTTTATAATTCAAATTCAAATTAAATCATTTGACATGAGATTGTCAGGTTTGCACAATTTTCAAAATGATTAGATTTATTGGAAAGACGATTGCCAGTATTCATATATCAACATATGCCAACTTTCCCAGGTTATTTTGGAGTCTCCCAGTTACAGACCAAATCTCCCAGGCTGTTGTACAGGTCACCAAATCTGGTAGAATTTTGTGGTTGAATTAGCCAAGTACTACTTTTTAGCAGCACACAATGTTTTTTTAGTGCTGACAAAGTCAACTTGGCAATCTCACAGATTTCAATATTTCTAGACTAGCATCTCCAAGTATTGAATACTTACTTGTGTTGATGGATCATAAGTTGCAGTGGTTTGAACACCTTTGGTATTACTTCCATGTGTTAACTCAGTCAGCGCAAAACATCCAAAGATCTGCAAACCAGAATCAGTCATTTACGAAATTTACTATCTCTCAGTTAATAAGCGCACTGTATTGGTCAATTGAGCAGGCCATATTCTCCTGTGCGACCTGCTAAAATTTAAAGTTGGCTTTGTTGCCAAACTGTTTCGCCAAGTATTCTTAACTTTTATTAGGAAGTAAAAGTTTAAAACTTTCTTTTTACTCTAAATTGTGTATTAAAGTGTGCTAATGACTTAAAAACAATTTCAAATTGACTTGTTTTACTTTCCAGGTGCGTCAGTAATTTGAAGCCATTCCAGGTGAATAGAAATTGTTCCCAAACCTGTCAGGCACACCGTAGAGATATAATAAATATCTTACTAACCTCGTCTTCTCGGTCCATACTGTGAGTTATGGATCCTCCTTTTTCCCCTTCGATTTATGGCTCACACGCTTCATGCTTGGGCCATAAATTCCAAGGGTAAAAAACTTGGTCTGTAACTTACAGAGCAGACCTTGAATTTGATTAGTAAGATGTATGTCTTTTGAGGGGGAGAGAAAACAACTCTGACAAGTTATAGCACTGCACTGTTTGTATAGTGCATGTGGACAAGGTTTGTCTCAAAAATAACAAGACTAAGCTAATATCCCTTGAATCATTTGCACAGACCTCAAACCTCCTAGCTTTATCTCCAAGCTTCTGAATATGTTTATGCGTGCTTGATCTTTTAACTTGGAGAGCAAACATCTAAATTTGCATAATAAATTAAAAACAGTGTAGTTACAAACCAAGCTTTGGAAAGTTATTTAAAATAAATGTAATAAATGATTACTGGACAAGGTTTACGTGATAACTTCAATAAATTTATAGAAGCATTAGACAACGTTATCAGCCAAAACCTGAGTCCATGGCTGAAAACACTCCTTAAATAAATCAATTCAGTTAAAACTTAAAACTAATATAACTAATAAAAATTATTGTTGTTTTATATAATCGTCTTGTCTACTAATGTAAATGCTGCAGTCTGATTGGCTGAGCAACTCATGCACTATCAACCATCAGTGTGCAATGGCTGGAGATCTTGATAATCATTATGGCAATGTTTTTTTTATGTTCTCTGATGTTTGGAGGAAGATTTATCACTGGACAACAGTTTTCAGTCTATCTACTCTTTGCGTATGAAGAACACCTCTCTAAGATGTGAGGTAGTGCTGGTCCCAATATAATGGTGTCTGTCTTAGGAGGAGTTGACTGTTGCCCCAGATGTGCTTTTTATGTCACATTTGGTAGTGAAAGAGTATCCTTGCATATGGCTGGCGCACCTGAAATTTTAACTGACCAATCAGGATTCAGCATGCAGGAAAAACTGTACTGTCCTTACTAAGCCTGGCATCAATGTTTGTTAATAGGAAAAGGCAACTTTTGTCTGTGGAGACAGCATCGAATATTCATGAAAAAGGGACTTAAAATTCTAAACACCATATCAGAAATTTACAAATTAGTGAAAATATGAAACATTCTGTGTCTTAAAGGTTTTTATCTAGCGCCATAATTGGATCTAGCTGTGACATCAAGCAACTCACTCATCAAGTTATTCGCCAAGTAAGAAAAATATTTGTGTTATTTTGAACAAAATATGTTGTTCGTCATCAAATTTAACCCATAGTTTTCACGCTAAGTATTAGAACAGGCCAGAGCAACTTTATTTTTGTTTGCGGCAAAGGAAAGGATTATTATCTTGTTGTTTCAGTAGGACAGCTCGGTTTGACTGCTGCTCATACTATGAGCATTTTTCCCCGCATACTGAATCCTGATTGCTCAATTCAAATTTACCGTGTAGGAGTAACTGTGAATTTGAGAGATGACTGGGTACAAGTCAAGGGTAACACCTCTAAAACTCTCCCGTGCATCACTCCCACGTTTTAAACGGAGAGATTGATTGATACACTGAGGTACATGACTGCACTACTCACCGATGAGTTCAATAAATATTTGGCTGATAAACTCCAGTCAAAACTTCCCAAAATGTCATTGATTACTAGACCCAAGAGAGGTCTCGCCATGAGCTCGCTATCAGACAAAAAATTGTCCTCGACAATTCGTTTGCACCGTTTCATTGTGAGTCGCCTACGTTCATCGAATGACAATTTACTATCGTTTGCGCGATTAAACAGTGGATCTCTTTCCATAGTTTTCCAGACATTGTGTTTAAATCTGACCACATCCTCTCCGCCATCTATAAACACTTTCATTTGATACCAGTCGAAGGAAGCCTGTTTTCTGTAGCTGTCCAATGGTCCTGGAGGAAATTGTTTTTCCATCTCTTCGATGCCATGTTTGCGATCTGACTCGCTGTCCAAAGAGAATCGTGACATGCTGCAGTTCTTTGGTGCTACCTACAGGTCTGTTCTCCAATCATTGGAACAGATTCCTTCCGCTATATAATCCTGATTTTTAACAAATCATTTGTTTGGAAGCGCGAAAAGTGTATCACAAGATGACCTGTTCACCGAGGACTTCTGGGAAGGTCAGTCAAGGGGAATGACCACTAGCTCGACCAATCTCGTTCCCAGAGTCTACACGGTTGCAGTGATCAGTGAGTTGCTTGACCCCTCTATACCGCAAAAAATATTCACACTCTATTCATAAGCAGAACACGCAACACGCCAATAACGAAGTATGAGTATGGTTGGATGATGGACCGGCTTTTGCGAGAGTCTGGATGCCGCAGTACAGAGTAAAAGCCGTCGGTAAAATACCAGACCAGCCGTTTCTGCAGTGTTACGTTTTCTGTAAAGATTCTAAGGGAAAGATACAAGATTCAGGCTAGGTTTTACACATATAAAACATTAAGATGTTTTAATAGCTAGATTTACCAGTCGAAGAGAGAGAGGGAAAAAAGAAGGGAAGGAAGTATGGGGGATGGAAAGCTCCAATCTTTACAGAATGTTGCTGCTCGACTGATCACAGGTTCCTGTGAGTACGATCACATCATCCCCATTCTCTTCAATCTTCACTGGCTTCACTTCCTTCCTTTCTGAAAGAATCAAATTTAAAATTGTACTTCTCGCCTACAAGGCCCTCCACCTGCAGTCTCCTACCTACATTCAAGAACTGATAACTCGATATTCATCGTCTAGAACCAAAGTCTACACTTCGCTCATTATACACGCTTCGTCTTAACCCTATTAACTTTAACCTAAAGACCTATGGATCCAGAGCTTTTTCTGTCTCAGCTCCAGAACTTTGGAACAAACTACCCAATGATATACGTTCATGTGATGATTTAAATCTCTTTAAACGTAAACTGAAGACGTTTCTTTTCATCACTATACTCTGTATTTTTATCTCGTAGAACTTTCTTTTTAGCTCTATTACCTTTGTAAAGCGCTTAGAACAGATCTCGATAGGCGCTATAGAAATATCTATTATCATTAATATCTATTGTGATGGAAAAGATGCTAAGTGACGTAGTGGAAAACACCCTGTTTAAACTGAACCACTTCTTTTCCTTTAATCTGGCTCACGTGAAAAGAGGTTCAAGAGCTACAGATCGAGTCTCTCCTCCACTTCCCCTCTCTCGTCTCTTGGTGGGCGTATTTTCGAGTAGAAATCAAAGTTATGCAATTGCCGCACACACATTTTCACATCGGCAAATCACAGGAACAGTGGACACTGACTTTATTTATTGAACTGTTATATGAAGGTTCTTGAAAACTCCTAATCTTAAACTGAAGGGGTAAGTAAACTCCAGGAGTGCCATCTTCTCAGGGGTTGAACGACTGACTGGGAAATTTGAAAACGCAGCAATCACCGGTCATTTTGGAATTGTGTTTGAGGAAAACCCGAGCAGGGAAACCACCTGATTATCGTGGTTTATCGTTTTCGAAAACAAGCTTTGTTTTCAAATTGTTTTCCGTCCACACGAAAACGCAAAGCCGGCGTTTTCAAATTCCTCCGGTTTGAAGAGCGTTTTCGAAAAGCACCGTTTTCGTTACAAATTAGTGTGGACGGTAAACCTAACCGTAGAAATAAAGCAGCGTTTTCAAATTTCTTCGGCGTAGTGTGGACGGGTCCCGGGTTTTGTGACCATTTTCAATGTGTCTGTTTTCAGGTCTTTTCAATATACCTAATCTTAATCTTGTCGCGTGTCCAATCCGTTTCGGACGCAACTAAGTTATGTCGAGGACACGAATTCTGAGAAGGCCTAACTGATTAAACGCCGCACATGAAATAAAAACTTTGTACGGTGTTTTTCTACCGCTCGTTCAACGATTAAATACTAGAGACTTTGATCATATCTCTTGTTAAATACCT